TTTCCGTATAGCGTTGCCATTGCGCGGTTGGAAATCGTTGAGTTTATTAGTAAGATCTTCCTTAAAATTTTACATAATATTAGGTAGAGAATAGAACAATTCCGAAATTCGGGCTTCCAGGTGCCCTTATTCGGGTGGAGGACAACGTTATTCAAAATTTGATGAATCTAGGTACCGTTGCTTTTTCACTTTGCGAGAAACATAGATGCATTCACAAAGATTATTCACTATTCAATTTCTTTAAATATAATCGAGGGCGATAATATTTCGTGGCAACAATATGAAACCAGAAACGGACACCTATAGTGAATAGACACAAAAATGCCGTTTCGAGACTAACCTGTATGAGCTAAAAATTGACGGGTGCCTGTCTGTTACATTTGTTCCAAACGGCCGCTTTGTGATGCGTAGGACTAGTTCTTAAGATTTTTAATATATCTTCTATTTTATTGATGAAATGTTCTACATTTTGTTAATTTCACATTTTTTTCCTTTAAGAAATGAATGTTATTTTTTATTAAAATTTATACAAAAGTAAAATGAAACTAATTGATAATGTATTTATTTCTTAACGATATTATACCTGAGCACAAAGTGGAATAGTTAAAACATTGTGTAAAATTGGTCAATGATACAAAAAATAACGAATATAATTCCATAGTTTAGCGCTGATGTTTTTCGTAAGTTAACATTTATGAATGAGCTGCCTAAAGTACTTGGATAATTGGTTAGTACCATGTTAAGATTAAAGTGCAGTTTCATAAAATTAAAGCTATCTTATTCTCTCATTTCGCACTTGTAACGTCTTCAAAATATTGTTTATTTTTTCTTAACTTTGAGACTCTTCTGTTGCTCAACTACAATTCTAATTTTCAAACTCTCTGGTATCATATAATTATCAAAAAAGAAACAAAATATCTCAAAGGTTTCAGATTTTAAATTACGTCCGAAAGGGGCATTTTTTAACGTTTTGTGGGTTACCTTTATTTATTAAATATCATGTTCTCTGCACTTAAACCATAAAATTCAGATCAGTAGCAATGTCTCAAAATAATTTTAAAATGAGCTTATCTTTAGAATTTCCGATACACACTTCCGCGCCCGCTGGGGACAAAAAGTTTTTTTTTTTTTTTTTTTTTTTTTTTTTTTTTTCCCCGCCGTTGAGTGTTGCCATTGCTCTCTTTTAAATTATTGAGTTTGTTACTCAAAAATTTGTTTTATGATCGATTTCATATTTTGTTAAAGTTTTACAAAATATGAAATCGATCATAAAACAAATTCCAAATTTCAAATTTATTTTCCACATGCCCATATTCGTAGGAGGATTACGCCATTCAAAATTCGATGGCTCGCTATACCGTTATTTTATCCCAATGCGAGAAATATACATACATTTATGCAGATTTTTCATTATTTAATTTCTTCAAATATAATGCAGGACTCTAACATTTGGTGGCAACAGTTTGAAACATGAAACGGACATTTATAGTGATTCAACGCAAAATCGCAAAACGAAAACAATAGTCCATCAGGGACAAAGCCCCTTTGGACTAATAAGCCACAAACGAAAATTATAAATTGTAGGGTTATTGATTAAACATTCTACAAGACAGGTTTTGCATCTTAAAAATTTTTGTCCCTGAGACTGTCATTGAGAAACATAATCCTGCCTTAAGAAACAATTCGAAATTTGAAGATCTGGCTTCGACGTGCATATATTAACGTGAAGGAATACATGTGTTCAAACTTTGGTGATTCTACTTGTCGCCATTTCTCCGTAGTGCGAGAAAGAAACATGCATACAGATTCTTCGTTATTTAACGATAGAAATTTCGTTGTTGCACATTGTTTGAATTTTATTTATTTCATAATAGAGATATGTTGTACTGATATGTTGTATACGTTCATAACACCTATTTTACATTTTGCTTTCATTTTTAAGAAGCTATGTATCACTCCAAAGAGTAAAAACATTTTAACGAATGAATGGTATATCTGTATTTCTTAATGTACGGTCATGACTTTCAGAAGCACATTTTAAGAAATAAAAATCCTAACATTATTCATTACCTGACATTGAAAATGCAACACCAAGAAGGATTGGCTAGAAAGTGATGAAAATCAGCAAACAGCAAGAGACAGCAACGAACAAATGTTATGTATAGAAATTATCTGATAGCGTTTTAAAAAAATTAGGTGAATGATTTTCTGATTTATGGAAATCTTAATTTCTATTTGATTATGAATTATTTAATTTAAGGCTTTAATTTTGGGGAAAAACAGATGCTTCTGGAAATATTATTTAGTTAAAAGAGTATTATTTATTTGCCTCTATTTGTAAATCTTGTACAAACTTTTATTCATTGTGAAAGAAGCAGGGAAAGGGAGCGCCAAGTCATGATTTCGCGCGCTTTAGAATGTTCGAGAAAGAATTTTCATTGTTAGTTGACCTTAAGAGAGGAAAGTACGTGACGGAAAGGTCAAAGGTTGCTACTTGTCTTTCAATGTAAGTCATTCAGGTTTTTGGCGATTGAGGGTCCGGTTGTTGGCTGAGTGAAGAAGGGCGCGCATGCGCGATCACCCTTATTTCCGCATTCTGGAGTTGAAAACGAAGATTTTGCCATAATTAAGGGGGCGATAAGTGAAGCCATAGTGGGAGCCCGTTTTGGGAAGGAGACGAAGGAAATTCGAGTTGGAGACATACTTTACTTTTGGCTGACTCTCGGACTGACTCGCTGATTTTTGGGCTTGCTGGACAAAATGTAAGTGACTCCGAGAGGTGTTTTCCGGCGGGGAGCGGCAAATATGCTCCCCGGCCGCGTTTTGGTTAAGAGGCGAGACTCTCTTACAGACTTACTCTGGACACTCTTACTTTTGGACTCGCGCACTTACTGGTTGGCTGGACTTGTGGATGTTACTCTGGAACTTACTTGGGACGTTACCCGTGAAGCTTGCTCTTGGGATGAGTAAGAACAGGCGAGCCGTAATTTCCTAGCAACAACGTTTGTTTCTGACCGGCGAAATTTGAACGAGTTACCTGCGTGTTGACATAGGACTTTCAGGACCAAGCGGATAGCCGTCCTGGGCAGCAGTGCTCCTGTTTCTGTTCTACAGTAGTGAAGTGGGTCTACATTTTTAGAACCAGTGTCAAGATGAGCCCGGCCGACATCAACGCGGGATAAGATAAGAGTCCTCCGCTTCAAGATGTCCCTTCAAGATAAGTTTTATTTTTTTTGGTGTGTTTGAACTTTAGGCAAGCTTTTCAAAAACGTCCTTAGCAGAAAAAAAAACAACGTCAAATCTAAAATTTAACTCTCAGGCCTTTTAATTGTTTCCCTTTCCTTTCTTTTAAATCACCAGACAAACCTTAAGTTTTTTTTATGAATTTAAATGAACAGACTCTCAGATGAGGTTAAGATTTTTCTTATTGTGTTGTAATTGAATAAACTGATATTTAATCTGGAACCTCTTACAGTATGTTTTCTTTATATATTTAATATGAACTTTTTTCCTTTATATCTTGTATATGTTTTATGTTTTCGATCCCTCACGGCGGGCGGTCCCGGAATGCATTTTTTTCACAACGCAAAAATGCTGTACACGTTTCACTATACGATTACTGCCTTTTACGGCAAGTAGTTTCATATTTAACATTTAACAATATAGGAATTTCAGATATAACATGGTACCTAGAAGTAAAACTATTTAACCTTGGTGTCGAAACTTTTAATATAACACAATAAGTGATCTTTATTTTGAAGTGATATGCATAATAAAGAGCGAGAACACCGCCAACTCAGTAGGTTTGGTCTGGTCTGGTCTGGTAGAAATGTGGTGGGACACGCTGGTGTTTACTTTAAGTAATGTAGGTGTAGTCCCACCACACTTTCATCTAGACAAAGCCCAAAAGATCACAGGGCTCACCGAGCTGTAGTGGCACGAAACATTTGTTTCGCCTCAGTAAGTTGTAGGTTCAGTAAGCTCAGTAGGTTGTAGGGCCACCTTGGACGGCGATATACGAAGCAACACCTCTAGATGCAGAGGAATGTCCTGAGAAATGGCTCTCCATTTCTTATCAATCATTTGCCACAGTTCGTCTTCTGAACGCAGAAATACCAGGGTCTGCAAATGGTGCCCAGTCACATCCTAAATGTGTTCGATTGGTGAGAGATCAGGAGAGAACGGTGGCCAAAGAAGTACAGAAGGTGTACAGATGCTTATCTGTACACCTTTGCAGAGCACGTTGGCTGATGCGAGCATGCGAACAGTGTGTGCTTGGGTGTTATTCTTCTAATAAAGGAAAAAGGCACTCCCTGAAGGTAGCAGAATGTCACTGGACTCAGTACTTCCTTTACTTCGTACAACGAAGTAAAATTTAGACCATGTCTAAAAGTTTAATTAATATCTAAACAGAAAGGGTTAAGAAATTAGATTATGCAAAATTAAAAAAAAATAAACATATAATTAATTTATCCTACTCTCAACAGAAAAAATTCGCACATTCTTTTAAAAGTAATTATTTGCTATGTACGAATGGAATAAAGAGCGATTTCTAAATAAATCCCTTTTTATATTCCCTAAGTCTTTATATGATGTTCTGCACAGAAAATATTAAGCGATTTTTTTATAAACTAAATTACTTTTACTCTTTTTACTTGATTATAAATGTTATCAGTCGATTTATGTCCCTGAATATATTTTAGATTCTAAAGCTAGCTCAAAACCGTTATCAGAAATAAAAAATAAAAAGTCATTATTTTGTGAAATTTGGAATTCATTTTAACTAGTGTTTATACTAAACATGTAAAAAGGGTTCATCGTTACTTATGCCCATATTTTGGTAATATTAGACGTATTGTGTCGTACTGTAATTCCATTTTAGGGTGCAATTTGTTCATCCATGAAATTCCGACTGTATTACAGGATTTTTACAGATTTGAAGTAATTTTTATGGTATTATTTCTTATCGACTTACAGAGTCTAAAGCCTTTTTCTTCCAGATCTACCAGGACCTGCTGATTTAATAGAGCTTGATCCACCTGCTATCAAGGGAGAAACCGCAACTTTACACTGCGACGTTGAGGAGCCTGGATTACCCCCTGTGTCTATATATAGGTCTGTATATAGGTGACATAATTTTTTCATGCTTAATTATTTCTACATTTTTGAGTATTTTATAAAACTTGAGGGTAATATGTCTTCAGTCAAGATAAACTGCAATCTACAGTACTTCAAGACCATAATTTTTCGTTTAGTTTTAAAATTTATAGCTGTCTCACTCACAGTTGTCGGTAACAGTTGTTTTCAATTAGGAAATATACATCCCTTAAGCTATAAGATTATTACACAAAAAGACAATATTGTTAAATACAAATATCTCTTTACATAATGCACTTCAGTGAACCAAACCGATATCAAATAACGTCATAAACCTAGGAAATTGCATTCTATTTGAAGTTGCAGGTCATATCAAATAAATATCTGTATTTATACTATGTAATCATTCTGCATCCAGTATACTTAGTAAATATATACTAAACCACTTCTTAGCCAGCAGTGCAACCGAAATAACGAATTTTGATGTATTAATCTCAATTACAGTAATTCTGCATACATTAACCTTTAGAAACCTTCAGAGATAAATAATAGCTATGGAAATTAAATCCAGATGTCAGAACTGTCTACACATTTCAAACCGTTCATGAAAACGGCTGGAGAGTATTCGTCATACATTATCTACCAATAAATATTTGTAAACCCATGCAAATGCCGGTATATGTGGTCCTGATATACGTTATGCCCTCATCCGTTAAATATCGTATATAAAACATCATTGTTATTAGTCACATGCAAGATGCCACGAAATGCCGAATTATCTTATTTCGAGAAAGATGTAATCGTCGGGTATTACAGAAATGGACAACCCTTAAATGGCATATCTAGCGAGCGTAATTATATAAAATCGACAATGACCTATGCGATTCAGAAGTGGAAAGTGAGCGGTGATTGTCAGAATGTGTCTCAAGTCGACAGACCTACAAACTGGGAGATAGGCGGGTGCTGTCCAGGAAATTCGGAAGAATTTCACCCAGCCGACTGCCCACATGCTTCAGGAGTTTCCACAGCCATCCGGAAGTGTTTTTTCTATGAATGCCACCCGTAAGGAAGCACATCTGCTTAGTTTTCATGGTCATGCTGCCGCTCACAAGCCTTTGACCTCAAAGGCCAACAGTGCTGCTCTGCTAATGTGGTTAAAAGCACGTCGACAGTGTACCGTAGATCAATGGGAACGGGTTCTTTGAACCGACGGATCAAGGTTCAGTCTCTGTCATTCGGATGGCAGGGTAAGGGCTTGAATAACGTCTCCTGCCAGAACGTATTGTGTCCGTAATAAAGTTCGGCGGAGATCGAATTATGGTCTTGAAGTGTTTCTTCTGGTATGGACTAGAACCCTTCATCCAAATTCATGGTATGTTCAGCACCGATGTTTATGCCCTATTTCGGATGACAGTGTGCTTCCTAATTTGTGGCAGTTTTAGGGTTTGGACGCATATTACTTTTAGGACGACGACGCCATCTGTCTTATTGCAAGGTTCACCTTGGATTGGTACGGTAACAATGAGGTCAACCGAATGGACTGGGCTGCACAAAATCTAAATATCAACCGTATCGAGAACCTCTAAGACGAGTTAAATGCCGAATTATGGCGTGCAAGAACCGCCCAATATCGGTGAAAGAATTTACATGTCTCCTACTGAAAGAAAATATACCAATAGCCGTCATACAAGGACTTGTGGATAGTATGTTCCGCAGGGTTGAGACTGTTATTGCTACTTGCGGAGGCTGTACCACCTACTGAATATGAACAAATTTTGATTTTCTTTTCTATCTCAGGTGTCCAAAATATATCGGTAGATAGTGTAATTGTCAACATTGTGACATGTGATCTTGCCTTACCTTGTTGATCGGCACATAAAAGCTCTCTGATTGGCACATAAAAGCCTTTGAATCCTGGAATCACACGTTACAAAACATAAACTCCTAAATGAGAGATAAGTATGAATTTTGATTTGCAGACGTTAGCCTAATATCTTGAGCTGAGTACGCTATTTGGCATCATTGGAATAAGGACTATATCTGGAAATCTCTCTACATTTAAAAATAGCGCACACTTTATGCATTAGTTCAACTTTATTTCTGCATTATTTTGACTTCTTCTTAACGTATTTGTCTATATTTTAAAGAAATAGTTTGAAAGTTTCTCTTGGATTTGAATCTCATAGCAAAACTTGGTAAGAAAGCAAAACTTTGATTACAATTTTGAATAAAAATTGGAGTTAACTTAATTTTTAAATGCTTATTATAGATCTATAAACATACTACATAAATCAAAATTAGCTTATGCAAATGTGAATTGTTAATTTACACGTCACGAAAATTTCATTTCATAGTCAAATGAGAATAATAATCTGCTTTATAACTATGTGCATGCTATTTTAAACATAACTTATAACCACAAAATATTTTTTTCTAAAAGCATTTATGTGTGTGTATTTTGTTATGTCCTTGCAACAAGCACAGAAATAAAACGTTTTCCTACATCTCAAACTCTCAGATATTGAGCTTTCTCATGTTTCGTACATAGCAAGCAGTCAGCCAAAAATCCAAATATATTCCTTTTTTTTCACTTTCAAAGAGAAATCTTCTGGCACTTTTCCATTGCCAGAAAAGGAAAACTTAAGACAGTCCTTCGGCTTGAATTGGAGCGAGTTGTTCTGAAGGATTAACTTAGAATATCATGGTACCCTAAAGACTTCCAAGTATTTTTACTCGAAAAAAGGCACAGAAAATGAATCATGACTGGAGCACTTAAACTGCTTAAGAGTTTTCTACTGATGAAAATGGCACTTACAATTCTGTTAATCATACTCAATAAACTTTCTATACACTGTTGAGAGATTTTGTAAATAAAAAACATAGCAGTCTCCCATTTAGCAACAATACATGTTATCACCCAAGTAAGAACACTAAGTGAGATCAGTAAATAAGGTCACTAAGTGAGAACAGAGGTGGCAAATGAATAAATAATAATAAAAATGCAGATTCAGTTACCAGAAAATATTTTGGATTATCAACAATATATTTATGGAGTAGCAGGGGTAAAAATTTCTTTCAGGCAGTTAATAACCGACATATAAAACGAAATTAGGGCAAAATCAATGAAGCAATACTGGTCATTCAAAGCTGTAATAATTTTACAAAATATACCTCACTCATATAATTTTAAGAATGGGAGACAGATTTTAAATTGAGGACTATTTAATATTCTGAAGATCCTAGTGATCACAATATTTGTTCGCAAGGTGACAGACCGAAATTTCGATTACCTCCTGAATTAAAGATTTGCAAGCTAATTTCGTAAACACAGCTCGATTTAGTCGTCTCTAAACACTTGTCGGAAATATTATTCATTCTAGCAATTCTGATAAAACCTTGTTTGTTGTAAACGTGCTTGAGCTTCGGTAAAGGGCTCATGTGCATTAGGCAGAAGCACAGCGAGCGAGAAGTAGCAAAACCTCCCGATCTCTGTATTAGAACCTATGTCTTGCATTCATTAGTTGGGATCGCATCATAAGATTATAAGATATTTCTCCAACTTCCCTAGCGTTCCTTCGTGGTGTAACGGTAGCACTCCGGGCCGGTATTCCAGAGGTCCGTGGTTCGATTCCCGGCGAAGGCGGTTGCATATTTTTCATCTTTTCTGGTTCCAATTAACCTAATGACTCTACAAGATGAGGTGTCATAAAGGTTATCACATGTTATGAATTTTAGCCACTGTTAGAAAAGACTAAAGCAATCATAATGCATCCTGGCATAAAAAGGTGTCCGAATACTTATGCTGGTTTCTGTTTTACCGAACAGTAGTCAACTTGAATAAAAGTGTGTGCACCTTTGTGAAGGGCATCAATATGAAGGCATTCTGAAAGAATAGTCAGCACCTCATATTCAGTTTTCAAAAGATATTTCCAAAAAGATAACTTAAACGTCAAGATACGATTAATATAAGAAAATGGATTTCAAATTCTCACTAGTGGAAATTCAAAGGTTCAAATTTATGTCTTTAAAGAAACTAATCTGAATACCATTCTTAAAATAGACAATTTAGCTATTTTTTTTTCATTTTGTAAAAGCGGTTTATGTCCTGTAATTTCGAAACATTTCTTTAAAGGCTTATTTTGCATATTGTGGATGGGTTTACATATTAAAATTTTTCAGTAAAATTAGAAGCAAATTATTAAATGCAAGTTTCTTTCTTTATGGTCCACATATAAAAATTTAAATTTCGGATATATTTAGTAATACATTCAAATAACCAAATAATCACTCTGAATGTTAAATTCATTAAATTCATTTCTTATTTAACATACTTATTTGATAAACGTAAGAGAAGTACAGGTGGGGTGATATTTTTGAGGAGAAAATGTTATAAATACAAGCCAACGGTATTCATTTATTCCATTTACGAAATGCAATACACATAGATAAATATCGTACCAAATTCATAAATGAGCTGTTCAAGTAGTCTGATGTCTGTATACCGTACCTGTATACTGTATACCGTACCGCATAGCTGTGTCTGTAAATAAGCTGTATGCATATATTTTAATATGAGAGGCATATTAGTTCCCTATACATCAAATAGTGAAAATATAAGAGATTTAGATGGAGAAATCCTTCTGAAACATTACATAGATTTTTATGGTAAAGGCTGAATTTTTCTCACAAAGACATTGGACAGTGATAGTTGAAAAAGTTTTTGTGCCTTAGAAAAAATATTTTTAGAAAGCGTAGAGAGTTAAAATAAATAATGTTTCGTTAAAACACATGCTTTTAAGTTAATGTTACAAAAAATACTGCAATGAGCGGAAGAAAATTTAAAGCTACCGGTGATTTTAAATTTTAAATTTCATTTAGTAACTTTCCTTATCTAAACAAGGTGCTGAGAAAGCTATTCATAGACTTGATATAGAATAGAGAATTTGTCTACTATTCACATCATATTTAAAACACTCGTATAAAATACCACATCAGTTTGCTAAGTTCTTCAGCTTGTT